AGTACATCACAGTCTCATCTGCATAATGTGGAAATTAGCATATGATACTTTTCCATCCAGATGCTTGACACAAAATTTAAAGTAAGTAGTCCAAGAACTGATTCATGGGGAACAACTTTGATTATATAAAGTTGCAGAGCCTGTAAAATGGCCTGATTTAAAATTTAGAAAATGTGCTTACTCTTCTTTAAGGAGGACATTTTTGGCGTCAGCAGCTTGGAGATCATTAGCTAAAGCTGTCACAGCAACTTAAAACTATAATGTAAGTTCCTGGGATTTTAAAATGTGAAAGAAATCCTCAAAGCTCAATAATCAAGACACGATCAAGACACGGAGCATGTGGAGGGGCATTAAGTGCATAACAGATTATAAAGGAAGGAGTGAACAATGCCCCAAAGACCCATCTCTGCCTGATGCCCTCAACAAGTTCTATGCACGCTTTGAAGACCCGAACAGACCACCCAGCACCAGACTCACCTCACCACTAGATGAAGAGCATCTCAGCGTGACCTCAGCAGAAGTAAGGAGTACCTTCAGGAGGATTAATCCGCACAAAGCAACTGGCCCAGACAACATCCCCGGAAAAGTGTTGAAGGAATGTGCTGATCAGCTCTGTGAGGTGCTGGCAGACATCTTTAACACCTCACTTACCCTGGAGACAGCTCCCACCTGCCTGAAGACTGCCACCATCATCCCAGTCCCAAAAAGCTCTACAGTGACTGGTCTGAATGACTATCGGCCAGTGGAAAAGGGGCATTAGTCACTTCACATAATTTTTCCCCCATATTTAACTGTGTTAATCTGGAGTATTATTTCCGAATTATTACTTCAAACTAAATTAGAAATTAATCTATAAAGCTGTGTTTCTGTCTGTTTTATTTGACACAGATGAAATTAAAAATACTCTAATTTCAGGTGGGGGTGTTTGGAAGAGGTGTCCATTTCTCTGATTTATTAGACCGGACTGTTTTTCATGAGACACAACCTCAAAAAGGAAGGCAGGGAAAAAAGGAAGAAATTCTGCACAATAAAAGCAATAAATTAAATATTAAGCAACATACATGTATCTTTTGTCTTTATTTATTTTTACTTTTTACAGAAAATGTAACAGTTTGTAAAATTTGTTCAGGAAAACAACCAACGATGCTCAGGAGTTGCAAGTGATACTCACAAGGTGAACTTAAACTCAGGCTGCTCTGGCTGACAGCAGAAACACTTGAGATATTTGTCATTAAAACAGAACTAACAGTTCGGTTGGTTTTACCATGGTTAGCTTAAATCAGGGGCTGATTAGAGCAGAAACTAATGGAATGTCAAAGAAACAGAACATTCTATGATTTTTTTTTTTTTTGTCTTTGTGTTGATGATTCTCATCTGAAGGAGCCACAACCAGCTGAAGATGCAAAAAAAGACAACGTTCAACCACCACCACCCCAGAGTGTACAAAAAGTACTTTTCTTTGGCTAAATCAACAGCATGTAGATCATCCAGGCCTGGCTCCTGGACCTGTTTGATACTGAAGAGACGCGTGTCTGAACCAGTCAGGATTGAGACAGAAATCACAATCAGAACTGACATTAAAGTTTATGTGGTTTAACTTTATTCATGAGAGCTCAGGGACTGGCTGCTCAAAGTCATGATTTATTCAATGGCTTCAGGAAGTAGTCAGAGCCTTTACTCAGTCCTGAGTTGAAGCACCAGCAGTATACATGTGTGTGTATATATACTGTATATATATAACAAACTACCATGCTTCACATTAAGACGGTGTTGGGCAGTTGAGTGGTCCCGAGTTCTTCAGACACACCATTTAGAAATGAAACCCAACAGTTCAGCAGTTCAGTCTCATCAGATCAGAGGATCTGCTCTGAGAAGCTTCACCTGCTTCTCTGCCATAAAGCTCAGATCAGTGGACTGAAGTTCTAGTTGTCATTCTGAAACTGAGTCCCGTCTCCACACAGGGTCTCTGAAGCTCATCAGGTCCATACTGTATGTTTTTATCTGCTGGAGTGCACCTTTGAAAAGAGGATAAGCAATTGTTTGTTTGTTTTTTAACCAGCTTTTCAATTATTTATTACCAGTGTGGTAATTAGACTGAGACATTAGCCTCGGATGTTTTCTGTCAAAGAATTCCCATGAAGGTGTCGAAATACTCTTGAGATGGTCAGAGTCTAATTGTCATCTCCAACCACTCAGCCACAGCCGCCCCAATAAAATAATGAACACTGCAAAATTTGCAAGCCATTCTGAAGACATTTGGGGGAGGCATCATGGATACCGTTCACCTACTAGTCGCAGCCCGTCAGACCTTTCTTCCATCTCGAGTTCTGGACGTCTCTGAGCTCTGAGGAACCTTCAGTGCTGCAGGAATGACTTGGTTCTGATCCAGCCTCTGAGCTCTGCTGATTGTCAGGTCCAGTCAGGATAATTTACCAGTACACCAATCAAGCAAACGTCTCAGAAGAAACCAACATTTAAAAAAGGTGGAAGTTGAGTGAAATGTTAAAATGTTGCTACAATTGCTGGGGTACTGATATTAACAAGTGTAGCATGAATGTGGGGAGGGGTTCTGAAAACGTCAAGGCCCCTGTCTGTTTGACTTGAAGCTTCACTTACTCTAAACTTGCTTTTCTTACCTAAATTACATACATTTTATGTCGTTTTCCCCCAAACAATAAAATATATTGTAGACAATTCCGGTTGGCTAATTTCCACAGCCGGACATGTATTTCATTATTGTGGTATTAAAAGAGAAGCTTATGTAAATAAGGAGCAGAGCAGCAAACACTGATCTTATCAAAATAGATTTTATTTAGACCTTGAGATCTGTGATAATCCAACAGTCTGATCTGAAGGCTGCGCACAGCCGCCATGAGGTGAGAACAACACGTGTCTGGGGGTAAAACACCAAAGAAAAAAATGTTGTTTTTAAATTGGTATTTACAAGTTTTCTATTATAATACACCAACAAATTCATCCAATATTTTTTGTTCATTTAAGAGCTACAAATAAATCAAAATTACAAAAGTTTTGAGAAGTACAAAACCTTCAAGGGCTTTCCAACATAGCAAAGATAGAGCTGACGTTAGTACTTTTGGTTGTAACACCCCCCCCCCCCCCCCCCCCAAAAAGAAAAAGAAACAAAGAGCTCATTTTCTAAAAACAAACCAATATAAAATATCATTCCACTGTCATACACTTGTTTTTGGATCCAGTTAAAGACGGCTCACTGAATTTCAATTCGGTAGAAAAACCTTTTATTTTGTTTTACAGATCTTTGAACAGAACGTAAACCGCCAGCCGACACGTGTCGGTGTCGTCATGGCGACAGACCAGGAACATGAAACGCTCTTCACCCCGATGAGCTGAAAACCTGCCCGCGCGTTTTCCTTCATCTTCATCATCATCAGATGGCTTGAATTAACACAGTTCACCGTTTCAGGCTCAAGAGTCAAAGTCTAAATCTTTCAATCTGCTTCATGTGTAGCTATGACTGTTTAATATTTTATAAAACCATTTCACATACATCATATGTGAAACGCTGTCATTACATTTATATATGAACACATCTAACGTATGCTTATTCGGTGGCGTCTGCTTCTAGCGTTTGAGCACGTGGGCCTGAGTGCAGCCGGTCGTCTTGTGCGTTTGTGTGAACGTGAAGCAGCAACCGCCTGACAACAGAAAAGCTGCGCACGTTCACAGCAACTCCGCTTTTTCTTTCAGTCGAGCTGGGAGGAAAGAACGTGATCAGGTGGTTTTTATCTGCAGGAGCGAAGAAAAAGCAGCGCGGCTTTGTCCGGTAGTTTCGTCGTGTGCCCCTTCGACGCAAACTGTTGTCAGATTTGATTTCCACCTCAGCAACCGGCGACACGTCACGCTGGGAACAAAAGCACGGCGCTCTGCGAGTTCACCAGACACAGAGCAGCACATCAGCACTTAAACTGGTCCCAGTTTTAGACCAGGACTGGAGCTGGTTCCAGTTTGGTTTTCCAAAGCCATCGTTACGTCGCTGAAAGCCTCTTTTAATAAATAATTGATCCTTTGGTTTCATTCTAAAGTTGTAATTTATTTTTGATGTCACAGTTTGACCTCAGCAGCTGGTGTTTGATTTCTGACCAGTCTCTGTAACAACTCGCGATCACAGTTCATGCTCAGTGATCCAGGTACAAAACCAGCAAAGTTCAGTCAGGTCCTCTGGACGGTTTCTTTCTGTTGAAATGTTTCGTCTTTATCCAAAGGACTTCATCAGCCCGAGGAGCCACAACAAACTCAGTCTTATAAATAGCACCTTCACATCAAACTGGTCAACCAGTATGATGGTGCTCAGATTGTTTCTGGAGTCTTGAGCACCACCAAACTGGTTGATCCACCATGTGAAGGTATAAGACCCGAGTTTGTTGTGGCTCCTCGGGCTGATGAAGTCCTTTGGATGAAAGACGAAACGTTTCAACAGAAAGAAACCGTCTAGAGGACCTGACTGAACTTTGCTGGAGTAACTTGTGATGTTTCAGCAGCTCCATAAACACCAGCTGGTATGAAGAGCTGAAAATGTTGAGAACTGGTGCCTCCAACAGACGTTATGACGTCAGCTGACAGCAGTGGTCGAGGTGGTGCCCTGACCTGCTTCACCTCAACGACTGGTGAAGATGAAAAACACAAACTGCACCAAGATTAACTTGTTTTTCACACTGAAGCTACATTTTGTCCTAAATGATGCAGAGAAACAGATTATGAGCCTCCATGAGCCCCTCCAGCTCCAGAGGAAAGTGTTTGTGTTGTTTATCTCTGGCGCAGCAACAACTTGTTGTTTTGTTTGTCAGTGTGAAGCAGGGCTCTTCAACTGGAGGGCCGGGGGCCAAATCAGGCCCACAGGTGAGCTCAGTTCGGCCCACCAATGGGTTCATTTGTAACTAAAACTAGATTTTAAACCATAAAACAAACTTACTAAATGACAATAACTGCTGCATGTCAGCCCCTGAGCTCTTGGCTTCCAGTAAGTGTGGCCCCTGAGCCACAGCTCTGGTGTAAGTGAAAGAGCTGCTACAAAGCTGACTGTGGCTTGGCTTCAGCCCTGGAACCCCTGTGATGGGAGAAAGCCTTAAATCTCTCACTGGTTGGGACTGCTGGTAACTACTTGGTGAACAGTTTTCATGAGGGAGTCACTTTGTCTCGAAACATTCAGAGGTTCTTAATTTCTCCTGGAGCCCCAGAGGCTCACGGTCTTGTCACTTGATCGTTGAACATGTTTTAAAATTTTGCGCGACGCTTTCGTTCTTAAATAATTAAGAGTGACGCAGGCATCTTATACCCGTTTTTATTTGGTTTCTGTATTTTTACAACTCTAATAGAAAACATCTGAGGCTAAAAGCTGAAGGTTCAGGTCTGAAAACACAAGTGAGTGAGACTGCAACTGAACGTTGGCCCACACCCTGACATGTAGAGTCTAACAGTCGCAGCCCAGTGAATACCGGGTTTAAAGTCAACTCTGGTGCAGATTATCTTCCATCTAAACATTTTGTTTTGAGCACCTCGATGAACTTGTTTAAAACAGTCACAATGGATCAAATTTATTGGATAAAAATAGAGCTGACAAAACTAAATCACCTCGTCTTCTAAGCTGTAAATCTGTTTTTGGCTTTGAAGAGAGCAGACAAGTGTAAATAGATTCAATGAACAAGTTTGAATATTTGTTTTAAAAGAAAACAACCCTGTGCACCCCTCTGTTCCCTCCCATCCCACATGTAATAAAAATCCAACAGAGATTAGTAACATGTCCACAGGACACCAAACGCTGACATGTGCAATATGCACACACCAACTAAGAACAAAAATCTTTACAAATCCAACGCAGCGACTGAGGAAAGGACAGCAAGGGGAATCCTGGAGTTTTGGTTTGCTTCTGATGGTGCTGGAAACACGTTTTGAAATGTCCATGCAGACCCGTTGTGTGTCTGCTGCGCGTGGCTGTGTTGTGTGAATAAAGTGTGGTCCGGCGTTTACGTGAGGAAGCGAGCGTTCCAGCTGGCTGCGACAGCGGGCCATGGAATCGGACAGGACGACAGCAGTGAGGCGGACAGGCAGCGACAGTCGTTTGGCTATGTACACATTCGCAGTCGGTCCATTGCTCCCCCACACAAGTGTCATTTCCTCAGGTCGAGTACACAAACCTGCAAAGAGGAAGCCACACACAGTCACATGGAAACTTACCTATACCATAATTATATCACATCTTCCTGCTTGTACTCTGGACCCAACACTGGGTTGTAAGTACATTTGCAGAACTGCTTTAATGGTATGACAGTGAGAAACTGGAAACTCAAACACAGAAACAAATATTCTGATAATTTTATCTTTCTCTCCGAAGCCCTTTTCCCTTGAACCTAAATTCACAGTAACACCTGCTGCCTTGCTTTGACTTCAACTCTGGTTTTCATTTTGCTTTCTGTAGCATTTTATGTTGAAAACACAACTAAAATTTACAAAAGGTGCACATGAACTCTTCAATTGAGTATCTGCGTACACTGGAACAACACAATCAAGTACTTCTGCGCAGTACTTCCGCTTACTTTTGTATGAAAGCACATGCTCCACTTTGACTGTCCGTAAATGCCAATTCTGAGCAGACTGCTGATGAAACAAGTTACAAATAAAAAGACTACAGTTCAGTTGTGAAGCTTTGAAAGGCCCAAACTTTATGACCAGTCAGGCTCACAGTTCTGTACATCACTGCTGCTCATCAAGTACCAACACTACAGAAGAAACTTTGATCAATACGATTAAAGTTCATCAGTTGGACAGGCAGCGCCCCCCAGTGGCCGTGTGTCTCGTGCTCACATACAGTAAATCACCAGATAAGCATCATGGGTGATTTGTTTTATTATTTTGATCATGTGTCAAAATTACAGTACAATAAACTATTATTGTACAGCATGGTAACTAGCATCCTGTATAGGTATGGTCATCATAAGTTGGGCCGCTGTGGCTGAGTGGTTAGAGCAGTCGTCCTCCAATACGAGAGTTGGGGGTTCGATTTAGGGCTGCAACAACGAATCGATAAAATCGATAAAAATCGATGATTAAAAGCGTTGGCAACAAATTTCGTTATCGATTCGTTGTGTCGCGCGATTATGCGTCTTTTACGGCGCTGCGGAGCCATTTTGTTTTGTTCACCTGCAGTTCATTGTCAATGCTGACTGACTGAATAAAGTTTGAAAAAAAAAAAAAACTGCAGCGCGAGTTGAACAGAGCGAGGGGGGAGGAGGAAGCAGAGCAGAGTGTTTTCAAAGGAAATTAAGTAAATTTTACAAATGACCGACGCAGCGAAAACTGTTCGACCCAAGTCCTCCAAAGAGTGGGAGAACTTCACAAAGATAAAAACTGAGAAACATGCAGCTTTGAAAATCACCGACACGACACGAGAGAACCACGGAGATAAAACGTAAACATGTCGGAGTCACGAGCTGCAGCTGATACATGTCTCACTCCCAACTCATGTGTTGCAGGTGAGTCTCTACAATTTAACACATTCTTCTGTTTCAAGAGAGAAAACGTAACTTCAGTCTGTTTGGTAGATGAAGCTGTTTGTTTGTTTGTTTATCTGATTAATGGCGGTGATACAGAACATGTGTTACTTTTTATTTAATTTAATTGGTACAAGCAGTGTTTAAATGTGATTTATAAATAAATCTAACACAAAGATAATAATTTAATGAGTAAGCTTCAACTTTTAATTTGTTGGCAAAGTCTGAAGACACTGCAGATATGGCAGGATGAATTGCATTTAAACAGGAATTAAAGTAATTTATTACATCTACTCAAATGTGTGGAATTAAGTAATTTATATGTGTGTGTGTGTTTAATTGCTCTTTTAGCTACTTTTGCCTGAACCTAACGCTGTAAGTGAAACAAGGCATTTCTTGAGTTGCTGTAAATTATGCTAGAATACATATTTACTGTCTCATTCCAGAAAACAACAACAAACAATGACATCCTTCATGATGGACAGACATCATGGACACCACAGCAGCAGCTGTCTTCACTGAAACATCCTGAACATGATCGTCAATGACATGAGGCCTCTGTCGATGGTTGAAGACGAAAGCTTCGCTACAATAATCCACACTATTAATCCAGGTTACAATAATCCACACTTTTAATCCAGGTTACACTCTTCCCTCAAGGACACATTTTACAAAGTAGCTACATATTGTGCAGGTATAAAGATACATTTGTATATATTTGTGTGTACATTTATTTTTTTAAGCTATTTGACTAACTTTTATTTTTTTATTATTCAATCTTTTACTAACAGAATAGTAAAATGGCAACCTGTTTTTTGTGTGAATTGCTATGTCAGTCAAATGTTCAATTTTGGAATAAAGGGGTGGAAATTAAAAGTTTTTTTTTTTTTTTTGCCGATTCATCGATTAATCGAAAAATTAATCGCCCGATGAATCGATAATTGAAATAATCGTTAGTTGCAGCCTTAGTTCGATTCCACCAGCAGTTACATGCTGAAGTGTCCCTGGGCAAGACCCAGAACCCCTCATTGCCTCCGATGTGTTTCATCGGTGTATGACTGTGATAAAGCTGATTAGTCTTGGTATAGATCTCGTAGAGTGCTGTATGAATGGATACATGAGGACACAGATTGTAAAGATCTTTGAGTGTCTTGATCAGACAGAAAAGCTCTATACAAGTGCAGCCCATTTACCATGAAGTGACTGGAACTTTTACATAAATGCAAAATAGTGTGCCACAGTTTATATTTATTCTAGAAGTAAAATGTTTCTACTGTGTCATTAATCCAACAAGCAATATTTTATCAATGTTTTTTTCCAGATTAACTGCAGCGTGCCACTAAGTGAGCGCAAGTTGGAGGAGAGGAGTAAAATCATCATGTTGTTGTTCAGTTTGAAACCTTAACGCGATCATTTAATTCATTGTGTTGGAGTTTGAATTGTTGTCATTTACAGGTCAACACTATAGAACATGGCACCTAAACTAGCTAAAAACTCAATCTAAAACCAAAAAGTGAAAATTTTCTTAAAAACAGTTTATTGCCTGATGAACTCCAGTCTCTAGAAAGATCATATATGTATCTGGAGAAACTGGAGTACAGTTGGGCTGGATCTGCAACAAATATTCACAGGACGGCACGAGGGCGGCTAAGTTGATGGTGGCACTCTATAGCAGAACTTTATCTATGGATCAGTGGAGAAGCGTGCCCATCCCAAACCTCACACATACACCTCACACTTGTACACACACACAGGAAAAAAAAAGGCAGCTGCTGTAAATACTAATTGTTGTTTAAAAAAAAAGTTAAACATAAAACCTAATTATGTTGTTGATCACACCTCAAGGCCAGAAACTTGGAGTAAACTGTGTTTACATAAAAGGGTTTGAAAAGAGGACATGGCATTTATTAGCATTTGATTTTATTGATATCTGTATTTATTGTTTTTTATCTTTGCATTTCTTGTTCGGTGATCTTGAGCATTTTGAAAGGTGCCTTCAAATAAAATGTATTATTATTATTATGACATGTTGTCATTACAATCCATATCCACCTTATTTCAGGGGGCTCCACTGTATAAATGATGATGGTACTACTTCCTGTCAGACAGGATGTAGCAGTGAGCATTGGTTACCATGGTAGTGGAGCAGAGACCACTGTTTATTTGAAAGTAAATTACATTCAGTTCAGCAGATAAAACACTGCTTTTGTTTTATTCATATTTATTTAACAACCATAAAGTTTACTAAAGCCCCTTATCCACAGGTCTGGTTCTTGTTGTAGCCTGTTGTGTCCGGTTCTAGTGGGACCTCTATTTTTGTGTCTCACCTTTGCCTATAGTTCCCGTTTAGTGGGCGGATTGTTCACCTCTAGTGGGCGGATTGTTCACCTCTAGTGGGCGGATTGTTCACCTCTAGTGGGCGGATTATTAATATCAACGCACCTTACCAGCTGGTGGCGGTAGTGCTACATTAAGCTCTTTTCTAAGCACCACTAACATGTATTAGAAGAAGAAGAGCCGGAAAACAAATTAATTTTTGTTTTTAACAAAGAACCAAAACCTACAACAAGAACTTTATATTTGTTTATGCATATATTTATTAATCTATTTTAATATTTATATATATATGTCTTCAGCCAGAGACTTCTTCAGATCCCTTGTAAGACAGATGCTACAAGAGATCCTTCCTGCCCACAGCATCAGCATCTAGAACAACTCTTGAATGAAACCAGGATGATGAGTTACATTTAATTTCCCTCTGGGATTAAGAGTCTTTTTGTAATTTGATTTGTATATATGTATGCATGTATATATATATATATATATATGTGTATATATATATATTACGTACATTACATAATAACCTACATTTGATATTTAACTCAGAGCTTACGCTTACCACGCAGCTGTTTAAATTAAGCTGTCGCAAATTATCTTCATGATTGAAGTGCTGTTAAGCAATATTAAGTTAGTGCTCGTTTGTACCACAGTGAAAGTCGTGGAGAGAATTTTTGACCTTGGGCGAAAAAGATGCAGAAGCTGCTGGATCCACAGGATAGACATCATGGCCGAGGTGTTTGACATGCAATGACTGAAAACCTCCTGAATGAGGATGATTGTAAACGTAGATTACACAAGTCCTACACCTTTTTAACTCCACTGCAATGTTCATTTACAACACATGGACATTCTGTATTATGGTTACGTTTTTCAGTACTCATTACAGATAAAACCAAAAAAAATACATAAATAAAAATACTGGACTTTATTTTTAACTGAAGATGTATCACTTCTCATCCGAGGCTCTTTCTCAATTTAATGAAACGAGGAGTGTGATTCAAATTATAAAGCTGTGTTGTGCCATAAGCTTGTATTATGGAGACTGACGCATGCAGATCAATCTCCAGCAAGCTTACAGAACACCACAGCTTTATAACTTTAATCCCATATTCCTTTTTTCATTGAATTGTGAGTGCTCCTCGGATGATTAGCGAAACGTATTCAGTTTTAAAAAAAAGTACTGTGGTTTTGTTTTTATATTTTTTGGGGGAGATTTGCCGTGTCAAGGATAACTGAGAATCTTCACTTGCATTGTTACAGGTAAAAAACAATTACTTCACTTATCTACACTATTGACGTAAAAAAAC